ATTCCTCCAGTCAGTGTAATCCTTCTTGTCTTCTACTGACACTACTGGTGATCTAGCAGATGTCTGTCATGCCACCATGGGGAGCAGGGCCTTCAGCTGCTCTGCTCCTGACTCGGAATTCCCGACCTCATGATTTAAGAAATATCTCTTCCTTCTCTCTCTTTAAGGCCCAACTCAAAACTCACTTGTTCAAAATAGCTTATCCCACATAACCTCTCTACTCTGCTATTTAAATTTGTTTTTGTTTATATTTCTGTGTACATGTCCTTGAGTGTTCTGAAAGGCGCTTTCAAATAAATTTATTATTATTATTGTTTTGAATTAGATGGCGAGCCTTCCCACCTGGACTTAGAGAGACTGAGAATCTCTTCTTTTCCACTTGATGATCTGCTGCACCTGTGGTGTGGTAGGACTGTATCACTCACACTTTCCCACACAGCTGGTTATACATGAGACCACTGACGGACATTTTCTCATCCCTATTTTCTTTCACACCCTGGGAATCTTTGGACTCTACCCCTTGGACATGTTTTACTTGGGACTTTGAATAATAAGCTGTTGTGTAGAACATTCTCCACATGTGAAAGGAGTGTGAGATTTTATTTGAAAGACATTGAATTTCAGTGATCTGTTTTCCGTAACAGTTAAGGAGTCAGGGTGCACCCAACACTGAAAACCAAAAGGTAACACTTGGCCAAGTCACTATTTTAGTAGATTTCTGTGTTTTAGTTTTCTTTCATTTTTTGTAAGTTTTCTTTCTACAATTGTAAAGTACCTTAACATGTGTTTGTCAAACCTGTGGTTTATTTCACTAAAGCCGAAACCTTAACCCCTAAAGCTGGTTCTTTTGAGCAACATTCATGTCTCTGTGTCTCATGTAAACACAACCCTGTGCTGCTATAGTCAAACTATTGGCCCATTGATATATTCTTTTCAGCGATTCCCCACTGTGTTACAGCTGCCTTATTTCTTTAAGTTCTGCTAACTTCTTCAGGTTCTTGTGTGTGGTTCTGTTTAAAGTAAAGATCAAATAATTAATTACAATAATTAAACTAATTAGAAAACTTGTTTCATTACAGCCCATAATGTTCAGCCTTCTGCAGCTTAGCTGTTAAACTGGACAAAATGATAAAAATGGCTCAGACGTTCAGTTATTAATAAAGAAGGATTACATCTGCACCCAAAGGGTCATGAAAACATTCAAATATAGATCGTAGTCAAACACAAGTGAAGCACTTAAATAAACTGCAAAGTAACTTAAAGTAAATATTTCCTGTAGGATCACAAACCATCAAACTGACCAAAGAGCCACAAAGTAAAACAGATGTTGTGTCCAACAGTGTCAGCTGTAACTGGGACTGCTGCTGCACCACAACACTCCTGCATGTCGTGTCCACAGACATGACGTCTCTCAGGTTTGTGTTTGAAGATCCAATCAAATAAGATGATGCTTCATTTGAACAAACAGTTGTGAACAAAAATCCTTCCCAACATACACAAACTATTCTGAGATGTTTCTTGAATTCAGGACTTCTTACACATTTTTCTCCAAATGTCTCAAGTTTCAGACTTTTTAACTGTGTGAGTATCAGCGACTCTCTGACTCTGTCTACATCGTTAATGTGACTTCTGCTTGTGTGACGTGTCACACGGCTCCCTTAAATCATTTTGGTTATAAAGTGTGTGAAGCACAGGAGGAGGAGTGACTGAGAGCAGAGAGGAGGAGCAGAGATTCAGGGAGGAGCTGAGCTGTTACTGAACTATAGAAGAGAGAAAAACCTCCACATTCAACAGAGTTCAACACAAAACAAACTTTATGTTCCTCAACATGCTGTCATTACATCACTGTGTGTTTCCTCTGATTCTTCTCACTCTCACAGGTCTGCTCACCTACACAGGAAACTATGTTCAACTCAAATGATTCATTAACGTCAATTATTGATTGAAAACGTTCTCTCTTCCTTCAGGTGTCACATGTGATCAGCTCTCGTCTTTCTTGGCCTTAAGACAACAATTCTGATGGTAAAGATCCAAACGGGACACAAAAAAAAAGAGTAAAGCTTGAAATTAAGTGAGAGGAAGACAGTGTGGGAAACAGGAAGTCTATTTCAGTCTTAAGCTCCTACAGAGTTAAATTGATGGCGGATATCTGGGATTTTATGAGTGAAAAAAAGAGATAAGAGAATTACAAAAGTAATTTTACTGAACAAAGAAAAGAGAGACCTGGAGTTACCTTCATTAGAACTGATTGAACCAGAGCAGTCCTTATAGCACAAAACATGATTAGTACACAGTTTTCTTTATGTAATGTGAGTCCAGTTTTCTTGAATAGGCGTTCGAGTTGGCGTCCTTTAGCTTTAAGGTGACGCAGGTCGGGGGTAAACCATGGAGCTGAACGGGAAAATGAGACAGTTCGATGTTTAAGGGGAGCAAACATGTTAAGAAGGTTATGGAGGTTGACATTATAATGAGAAACAAGTTGATGAGGGGTTGAGGGGCTCTGAATAGATGGAAGTTGTTATGTTTGCAGTAAAAGAAATAAACACATGATCAGACTGGGGAAACAATGTGGCTTTACAGTGTGTGGGAGTAATGCCACAACAACAGACCACATCCAAGATATGTCCTGTAGTTTTCAGTTTTTATTTGTCATATGCAAGTTAGCACAGGCTCAACATTGCAATGAAATGTTTTTGACGAGCAGCAGTCACTCAGCAGTATAGTAAGTAAAAAATAGTAAATGTATAGTAAAAAGAAAGAGGCTAAATATATATGTACACGCTTGTGACTAGATGAAGGAAATCTTAAACAGGAATGTGACCGTTGACATGTAGTTGGGGGGATATTGCACATGAGTGAGCAGCAGTACAAACTGAACAGTACAACATTTTGAGTGGCAGTTATTGCACGGAGTAAGGTTTTAATTCATTTAAATACTGATAAGAGTGAAGTGACCAGTGCAGAGTGTACCTGTGAAACTGTAGGACAGCTGCTGAGTGCGTCCTGTGGAGTGTGTGTGTGTGTGTGTGTGTTGTGGTTGAGGTGTCGTATGGCTTGATGGTAGAAACTGTTTTTGAGTCTTGTAGTCGGAGCAGACAGGCTCCTGTAACGTCTGCCAGATGGTAACAAGAAGAGCTGATGTGCTGGGTGGCTGTGGTCCCTGATGATGCTGTGAGCTTTACGGAGGCATCGCTGGAGATAAATGTCCTGAACGGCAGGAAGCCTCGTGCCGGTGATGTGCTCTGCTGCCTTCACCACCCTCTGTAGTGTTTCACGGCTGCTGGCAGAGCAGCTTCGTACCAAACTGTGATGCAGCTCGTCAGCAAGCTCTCGATCGCACACCTGTAGAAATGTGAGGTGATGTTGGCGTTCATGCCAAACTTCCTCAGCCTCCTCAGGAAGTAAAGCTGCTGGCGAGCTTTCCTGAAAGCAGTGTCTGTGTGAAGGTCCAGGAGAAGTCCTCGGTGACTTTGGAATGAGTAGAACATTTTATGTACTATAGAAGCCCAAAACCTTCCAGGCAGGAGGATCTCTGGAAAGAGGGATTTTGTCATTGTCCATATGAATATTGAATCACCAACAATTATCAAATCTGGAGAAAGTTCAGAGAAATGAGTGAGAAGCGCAGAAAAATCATTTAAAAACTCCTTATTTGGCTCAGGTGGCCGATAAACAGTACATACAATGGTGGGGGTAGATCCAGGGAGCTGTAATGCAATGGTTTTAAAAGAATGGGAGGGAGGGGCAGAGACAGGGAGAACTTTCCAGTGCTTCCGGTGAATTATCGCGAGACCCCCGCCCCTCCCCGAGTTGTGAGGTCCACAGGTGTAAACAAACTCAGATTGAGTGGAGTCACTAAATGAAACAATCACTGGGCTGTTGCCACGTTTCAGTCAGGCAAAGAAAATCAACAACTTACGATCGGAGAGGAGATCCTGGACGAGATGCCCCTCACCAGTGACAGAGCGGACGTTTAACAGACCGAAGCTGATGCTGGAGTTACCATGTCTGACAGCAGGCTGAGTTGATCTAGTCAGCAGGTGGGCCAGCACGTTGCGCTCTACAGCCTGGTCAGTGTTGTGGGGAGGACTGACCCGGTCATAAACCATGATGAAATCATATAATTATAATAATAATAATACAGAAAACACTGAGTCACTGACCAGGACAAGGAGAAAGGTCAGAACGTAAGAAACGAGAACTTTAATTTAGATTTTATTGATCACGACACAGAGCTCGTTTGTAGGATACAGCGTTTTCATTTTTCACAGTTTACAGATTTGTTCAGGTGAGTTTTCCTTCCCTTAGAATTAGGAGAGCTTTAATAAACCCAGGGTGATTCAAGTTCGTCGCTGCGAGGCTTCCTGAGGAAACTTTGGTAGTTCAGAGGAAACTGATTATTCAGCAATGTTTAAATCCTGCCAGACTTCCTGCAGACAGCGCTGCAGCAGTGAGGGAGTCAGAAGCGTTCAGAAGTGGATGTGAAGGATTTCATATCCAGCTTTGTAAGGAAATCTCCAAATGTGAGCTTATTGAAGTGAAATGAGTGCCTCGTGTTGGGACCTGAGCAGAGCCAGTGAAAGCTCAGCTGAAAACATTTTCATTGTTTGTCATTATTTGTTTAGCTGTATTAACCTGACTTTTATTAATATGGGGTAATAACAGTGCCCCTGAGTATCACAGAACACTCGCTCTTTACTGGATTTCACATGTTGTACGTTTTTCTTTCGGCTGTGGCTTTTCTTTATGTTTTTGCAGTATTGCCCTTTTTACACTTGAGCAACAAAATCTCACTGATCTTATTTTAATTTAAATAATATTTTGAAACAAACCACCAGGATACCTACTGAACACAGAAAGTTTAAGTATAAAATCTGAGAGAAAATCAGGTGTTAGAAAAATATTCTCACTATTAAATATTTTATTTTATGTTTGACCTTATCTTTGCAGATGTTTCGCTGTTCATAAAGACTCTAAACAGGTTTCTCTCTGGCTCCACCCACTGATGCTGAACTCAGCCAATGAGATGGTCTCTTCCTGCAGAACTCCAGCCTGATGTTGAGGAGAAGGCTGTGCAGCAGAGAAGCTGCTTAGTCTTTTCCTTCTGCTGAACTTTGTTCATCTGCTGTGTGACTTCAGCACCTGAAACATGTTCCTTTACCTGTTGGTACTTTTCTCTCACTGCATAGGTGAGTGTTAGAACACAGAAAAGTCTCATTGTGACAAGATTTGATCAGAGTTATTATTAGCAGAGTTCTTCATCTCATTATGCTCACAAAGGAAGAAAAAGACTGACTGACATGAATCATTCATTTGCAGCTTTGGGCTCCATGAACAGCATAAAGCAGGAACGTGCTGAAGAAGCTGTTGCAGAGCGAGGAAACATCAACCTGACCTGTACATATGATGGTTCTATCTACAATATCCAGTGGTACCGACAGTACCAGAGATCCAGACCAGAGTTCCTGCTCTACATCACAGAGGGAGGATCAGTTCATCGAGCTGTGTCGGGATTCTCAGCTCACATTGACAAAACAGAGAAACGTGCAGATCTGGAGATCTCCTCTGCTGCAGTGTCTGACTCTGCTGTGTACTACTGTGCTGTGAGGCCCACAGTGACAGGAAACAGCAAAACTCTGTACAAAAACCTTTGGAGCAAAGACAACAGAATACTCCACAACATCCACTAGAGGGCGCCACACACCTTTGTTAGGATACAGAATCATAACACAGCTGTGATAAAGAGCTTCAGTGAATGAGATGTGAGCCTCCTCCTCCTCCTGACTGCAGAAACCTGTCTGACTCCAGCTGTGAACCCCAGACCAATCACAGCTAACTCGCAGTAAATTGATGTGGATTTCATCCTGACATAAACACCTGCATACACTAGAGACGTAATCGTAGTTACTTGGATAAATTGTGTGTAATGATATATACTCATATATACATGCTTGCTCCCAATGAAGTGTTTATATGGGGGAGTCACTGCATGAAGCATTTAACCTGCATGTTCAAATCACATGACCCATATATTAAGGGTAAATATATCTACCATTTATTAGTGAAGAATTTGTGCCATTTGTTATATGAACACATGTTGATCAATACTGTTTGAAAATGTAACCATGAGGATCAGTAAGAAACCTTTGATAGTGTTATGGTCCAACAAAACTGTTGAATAGATTAACTGATTAACTGCCTTTCTGTAGACATTCAGACTCACTTTGGCCATGAAACTGCCAAAAGGACCCAATGATGGATGAGAGCCTGGTTTGCAAGACGTTATGGTGTAGGGTCGTGTATATCATAAGTAGAAGATGAAAAGAAAAAAAAAGGATGAAAGTATATCCAAAGATGGGAGAGGGGACCACTGTCCCTGTAAGATGACTTTGATATCCTCTCTTTTGTCTGCTGCTTCTTTCCTGTCGGCCTTTTGTGTGTGCTTGTGCTTTAAAGCTCTACACGCTGGCGTTGCTTCGATTTTCATTCATTTTTCTTGCTTTCTATGTGTCATTTCTGCTTTTAACCGTACTGCTCTGCTGTTCATATGACGCTGTTTCATAAACTGTTCTAACAGTTCTACTCTTTTCCAGAGAATCATTATGAGTGATTTGTTTTTAATTGGATCCGAAAAGCTTGACCTCCACAGCGTTGGTGGGATGTGCGACCTGACCGAACATCACTTCCAACATTTCTCCTCTGGAAACATGGAAAAAGTGTTTCTGACAGGAACACCTGAAATTCAAAGACATGTTTACAGCGTTACGGATCCAGTTTGGACTTTCTTTGATCAGCACCATACTGTTGTCTGCCGAATGCACAGATGAGGTCATTTGTCACAACTATAGCAACTGTAGTGCCACTACATTAAGTTTTTGTTTTTCCTGTGTTATTTTTGAGTTCTCTTGTGTCCAGTGTTGGTCAAGTTACATGAAAAAGTAATCTTCCCCCAAATGTAATCCCATTACTTTACTGATTACTTATTTTCAAAAGTAATTAATTACTTAGTTACTTAGTTACTTTTTAAAAACACGATTTACAACCTGAATAGGTGATAAAGCGATAGATCTTTCAGCCCAATTCTACTTTTTCTACATAATCCATCATACAAAATGTAATCAGATGGAA